TTTGTATTTTCAATTTCAAAAGTCAATAAATAGATTGACAGTTTATTACTAAATATTACATTATTCATTTATTTCTTTTATTTATTTTGCTGTAATCTGTTTTATTCATTAAATAATTGTTTGACTTTGTACCATTTGTAAAAAATAAAAAAAAAAAAAGAAAAAAGAGAGATACGGCATGGGGTACTGATACATTTCGGAATAATTAACATAAGTGATTCCCAAATATCATAAATAATCATAATTAAAAAAAACTTACTGACTGCATTCATTTACTTATTAAAAAAACATTTTTTTTTTAAACCGAAAATACAAATAAATTAAATAATCAAATACCCGAAAATGTGATTTGTTTGGATTATATGATATGTAAAACTATTTACAATAAATGATGTGTCAAAGTATTTTTGAAGCATATTAAAACTGCTTTTTATAATTTTAATTCCATGATGGATATCAAAATAATCTTCTCATTATGCACAATCTTTATACGTCAATAGTTTCTTTGATACTTTTATTTTGTTTTGATTGAAAAAAACTAAGTTGTCATACAAAGAGGACATGTTATTTCAAACAGCTGCTAACTGTACACGGTCGCTCTGAACACAACATAAACAAGGTATAGCGGTCAGTGAAAAAGACAATAGGTGTCATGAGTGTGTACCCTGAGTCAATTACTGGTAAACATCAATGGCTTTGATGTTCTTTCAGACCCGTGTTAGGGATTTGAAAACCGAATTTTTAAATCAAATCAATGTAACAAAAATCTAATTGACAGATTAATATTGAACATAATGAGACAATTATTTTGATATCCATCATGGGCTTAAAGAAATAAAAAGCCGTTTTAATATGCTAATAAAATACTTTGTAGCATATCTATGGATGTAATTGTTTATGTTAAATAAAACTCAAGAAACACAATTTCTTGTAGATATAAAAGATTGATTAATGTTTTGTATTTTCAATTTCAAAAGTCAAAAAATAGATTGATAGTTTATTACTAAATATTATATTATTTATTTTTATTTATTTTGTTGTAATCTGTTTGATTCCTTAAATAATTGTTTAATTGAAACAATATTTTATTCACTGATGTTATTGTATATAGGATAAGGTAGCAGACACAGCCTATTTTAGCCCTGTCCCTACATTAAGGTCAAGGTACAAAACATAAAGTGATGTAAGAATGTACAAAAGAAGAAAAAACACGAACAAAATTGAACAAAGTAACAGAGAAAAAAAAAACACAGAAAAAGTCATATATAGGAAATTAAACAAAAAAAGAAAAATAGAATGAACAAAATAACAAAAAGGGAAGATTACAGGGGGAGACAAAATACAAAGTTAAGTACCGGTTTGGGAGTACTTCTAACAAATAAAAAATTATATAAATAATTGTTTGACTTTGTACCAATTGTAAAAAAAAAAAGAAAAGGAGAGAGACGGTAGGGGGTGCTGGTGCATTTCAGAATAATAAACATAAGTGATTCTAAAAAGTTATAAATAATCATAATTTAAAAAACTTACTGACTGCATTTATTTACTTATTATAGAAACTTTTTTTTTTTAACTGATGATACAATAAATTGGATAATCATATACCTGAAAATGCGATTTGTTTGGATTATATGTTATGTTAAACTATTTTCTATAAAATATGTGTCAAAGTATTTTTGAAGCATATTAAAACTTTTTTAAAATTATTTTACTTCCATGATGGATATCAAAATAATCGTCTCATTTTGCACAATCTTTTCCCGTCAATAGTTTCTTTGATACTTTTATTTTGTTTTGATTGAAAAAAACTAAGTCCTCATACGAAGAGGAAATGTTATTTCAAATAGCTGCTAACTGTACACTGTCGCTCTGAACACAACATAAACAAGGTATAGCGGTCAGTGAAAAAGACAGTAGGTGTCTTGACGGTGTACCCTGAGTTAATTACTGGTAAACATCAATGGCTTTGATGTTCTTTCAGAACCGTGTTAGGGTTTTGAAAACCGAATTTTTAAATCAAATCAATGTATCAAAATATAATTGACAGATTAATATTGAGCATAATGAGACGATTATTTTGATATCCATCATGGGCTTAAAGAAATAAAAAGCCGATTTAATATGCTAATAAAATACTTTGTAGCATATTTCAGCAAATTAATAAAATAAAGTTAATAAATCAAATTTTGGGAATATAAATGAGTGATGAATTTAAAAAATTAACAAATAAATGAATAAATTTATATAATTCGCATTTTTTATTTATTTATCTATTTTATTTATCTATTCAATCTTAATTCAGTCTTTTTGTAGGCTTTTTCCCATTAGAAAATAAATGAATAAAATAGATTAATATGTTATTGAATGATTTTAATCTATTTCTTAGACATTTATTTTATTAATGCATTAACATATCATTCCTTTCAATTATTTTTTTTTATTTAAATTCTTTGGAAAAAAAATACCATATATAGATTTGACGATGTATTCCTAAATGTTTAAATCTGTTTCTTTTACAAAGACAGTTATTACGCTAAAAGATGTTTCAAAGAAGATAAAATGAAAACGTTTTTAAATATATATATAAAAGGTTCATAAAGTACAATGTAAATGCCGTCTAGCATCACAAGATGCAATAATTTTGTAATCTATTTCTTAAATGCAACAAAAATATATTCTAAACTCCTTTTCTTGGCCAAAATAAATGTCAGGGGACGACAGGGAGTAGACAGGGAGAGCAGGGACAACGACAGGGGACGACAGGGACTGGACAGGGAGATCAGTGAATGTCAGGGGACGACAGGGAGTAGACAGGGAAGGCAGGGACAACGACAGGGGACGACAGGGACTGGACAGAGAGAGCAGGTACAACGACAGGGGATCATAGGAGAAAGTCAGGGAGAGACAGGAAAATGTCAGGGACTGACAGGGGGACAACAGGGGATTTTTTGGAATCTAGGGGATATTTTATTCAGTAGTGTAACGTCCAAGGGAGTTTTGGTCTGACGTAATAATCTCATTCGGGTGTTACATGTATCATATTGGTAATATATTCGCCATGCTCTTCCTTTCGACTGACAACAGATTCATAATTTACCGGCGTACCTTTTTCTCTATGTACAAACTATACTTTATCTGAATATTTCTCAATGTTAGGCGGCATAGCCATATGGCTCTGTTTGTAATTGATTTTTAAACTTAATTAAACCAAAATTTTGGGAAAATAGGCAACGATCTAATATTTTAACAAACTTTAACTTTAACAAACGTTACTATTGACCACACCCCCTGTGATGCCTCAAACGCAGAGAATGAAGCTTCATTTCTCATGTCACTTGAATCAGTTCCAACAATTGGTGGCACATGTAATGCCACAAACGCAGAGAATGCAGCTTCATTTCACATGTCAAGTGAATCAATTCCATCAAATGTTGGTTTTACCTCAAATGCAGAGAATGCCGCTTTTTTTCATGTCAAATGAATCAGTTCCAACAGTTGGTGGTGATGCCACAAATGCAGAGAATGTGACTTGAATCAGTTCCATCAATGTACCTGGTGTAATGTAACCGGTGTGACATAAACGGTGTGATGGACACTGAGGAGCCTATTGAAGAAACCTTTTAATAGTGTGTATATAAAATATAATAAAAATATATTTTTTTAAATATAAATAATAATCATATACGACAATTTATTGAAAAGAACAATTACTTATCATATTAAAAGTTTCAGGTTCGAGTGGAAGCATTTCAGCATCCCTATAGAATCTCTGGAGACATTGTTGAGGGTGCTTTTACAATCACCAATGAGAATGACTTCAATCTGCTAAATCTACAATACTTGCAAAGAGCCGCATACAGAATCAGACAGAAGCTGAGACCAGTCGAGCCCAAGGATTTTACTTTTGAGGTATATTCAATTTCTTAGTTAACAGAGTTTAAAAATATACATGTATTATTTGTTTTATATTTGATTATATATATTACATTATTTGATGGGGCTATTTTGCCAAGTCCACTGTGATTTATGCAAGCTAGTTCTTTTTTTTTTTTTTTTTGGTCAAAATAATTCATTCACTTTTTCAGAAGGCGAGAAGTATGTATATAAACTTCCTTCAAATTTTTCATTATAAAGTCAAGAAAAAAATTTGATGGCAGGTGTACAAATACAAAAACAATCTCTGTAACAGCAGAAATTGCTGATCATACTGATTTTCAAGCAATCCAGTTTTAGTTGGATTCAAATTTTAGTAAATCATGGTTCCATGGGGCTAGGGTTCTTTGGAGCTAGATTTTAACGTGATAAAATTAAGAGACAATCTTTATTATTTAAAATTAGGGGGGATCTGCTGACAAGGAACAGGACAGCAATAGTACCGCAGTTGAATGTTATGGCCTAAGCAGTTAGGGCATGTCGTTTTTAGTGTTAATGTTTATAGTTTGATTATACAATGAAAATCTTCAAACATTTTTTATGTAAAGGAAGCTCATCGGTTTGTAGAAGAATACCGTATATGACATATTTTTATTGGGTTAAATTTCTGAGGTTTTAGAAAAAAAAATTGACCTGGTATGTGGGGACATGATTTTGTGTTTGGAGAATGTTTTGTAATACAGATAAAATTTTATATTTCTTGGTGACTTGTAAATTCATGATGTTTCTCCATACCTGGTAAACAGCAAGAATTAAGCCCCCACAAAAATAAATGACATCACAGTAACAATTAAAGATGATAATTTTTATAACAGATTTTCTTTACTGTTTTACAGAGAGCAAGAAAACTGAAGAAGACTCTGACTAACATCAGCAGTGACAAACATGGGGACTTTGACAGGTCAAAGCTGATGGAGGTCATGACCCCAGATTACCTGTCCTCTGAAGAGTCTGAGGAAGATGAAGAAGGGAATAAACCTTTTCACGTTAACTGCGGTCCTGTTTTTAGCGCATGCGTATAAATGCTTCCGGACGGTATTCCAGAGTTTACATTAGCAACGTAAACAATGGTAATACAATGCGTCGTTTTTAAATGTTCTAACAGACAAGGAAGTAAAACCAAAGAGAAAGGTGTGAGTTTTTTTCTCTTCCCTAAAGACAGGAAAAAGAGAGCAGCTTGGATTAGGGCCATCAATAGAGATAACTGGTCTCCAAATGAGTACAGCAGGGTTTGTTCCGAACATTTTGTGGAATCATGGCACAGTGACGACCCTGCAGATGAGAACTATCGTCCAACCTTATTTAAATATAAAATAAAGCCAAAGTCGAAGTCGGAGACTGCCCGCAATGTCAGACATAGCAAAAGAAATTTACTTCAGGCAGGTGAATTTATGAATAAGTTTACTTAATATGTTCATTATTGAGTACTTTGTTTAGAGCTAAATGGGCTCACTATGATGTATGGATACTGTCTAAAGGTTCTTTGTTGCCCTATTTAATTGTAAATAAATCATTATCTTATCCCTTACCTAATGTGTTTTTTATTCTCTGAAATCTCTCCTTTTTTTTAACTTAATTATACAATCATGTACATTTAATTAAATATATTGTTGCAATTATAAAGGGTCAAAGTGTGAGTGCATCTTGCACATTATAATTATGTAGTACCACATACTAGTAAATATATTTAGACATTTAAAATTTATCAGACACCATACTATTTACCCAATTCTTACAGGTTATATACTTAAAATAACACTAATTAATGTTGTCAAAAACTTTTTAAAATTACTATTACTGATAGTTAAAATTTGTTAAAGCTTGTAGTTTAATCCCTGAACCTTGCTAATAGACACACTCCACAACTCTTGTCTAAACTCCAAAAGTATGACTAGGCCACAAGCATTAATACCCCACTACCTCCTAGGGAAAATATATACATAGAACTTCACATTGATCACATATTTTTATATTCCCATGATTATATGTCTTTATTCTTCCAACAACTGCAAATTCATAAATCTGTCCTTTAAACAGGAGTTAAATGAGCAAGAGGAAAGAGAAACACAGACTCTACAGCAGCATCTCAGGTTTAGCTTGTTTTCTCACAGCTATTGTCACCAAGGAACAACAAATGAAGATATCCCACCTTTTACAGACAGCTCTTGCATAGATTTACCTGTAGATGATGTTAACATCAAGATTTTCAAAGAGAAAGGTAAAGAGCTAAGTTTTAGTATAAAATAAATTTTCTATTTAGAGGACATCTATTATTCTTATTTGACACATTCCTCTACATTAGTTGAAAAAAAAATTCAAAAGAAGGAAAAAGATACACAAAACTAATATACATTAGGTTTATAGTATTTAAATAGTATAATATCTTTAAAAAATCTTTCTGAGCAATTTTAAAATGCCCGGGCAAACTTCTTTCCAAATGTGAAAGGGCAAAAATAACACGGGGCGAAAAATAACCCTGTATACAGTATATATTTACATTTGCAAAATGTTTGCCCTTATATAACAATAATTTAACAAGGCATTTTTACACTTCTTTTTAACATGTTTTTCATGACTGACCATAGGTATGCAGTGTGACACTGACCCTTTGATGGCAGAAAATGACTCATTAAATAAACAGGTGAAAGACCTCCAAATAGAAGTGAAGAAACATAAATGGAGTTTCCAGAAAATTACAGATGATGATTCTTACAAAAAGGTTCATCCTAACCTGTACAAAAAACCATAATAAAAGCTATGTTTTATAAACTATATAATTCAAGAGAGCCTTATCAACCTATTGATATTATCTGGAAATTCTTTGATGTACACAAAATAATGTCCATTTCTCTACTGGTTCTGAAGTATCTATTGTGAGAAAAATCTTATGATTGAAATGATGCCTTTAAATCATTTTGTATTTTCAAATGGAAAAGCACAATGAATTACATAGATGGCATTGGTTTCTGGAATGAAATGTTAAAAATTAAACAAAACAAAATTTTTAGCATCTTCGCTAGCCAAGGGTTTCTGATACGCTCCTCTCCTCATAAACCCTTGGCATACGGTGAAGTCAAGAGACGGGATTGTTTTCCGTCACGTGATCTCGAATCTATCAGGTACGCACAGATTGCGTCATTGCCAGAAATAAAGACACGTGTTAAAAAAAATTAAATCAAAGTTTTTTCAAGAATAATTAAGAAGCAATAATTGAGTTATGTCTATTCATTATTTATAGAACAAATCTGGAGCTTCAATATAGATTCTTAATCACATATTTAGAAGATATTGGATGACACCATGGCTATTCATAGAACTGAATGTTATCTTACGGATCGTTGTTTTCTTGCGTTTTTCATTTCCGAGATTAAAGAGTGAAGATGTATCCCGAACGCAAATATCGTCATTTACAAAAAACAATTGCTGATTGGTCGATCTGGGTGTACTGAAATCCAATCAGAACTCTGGAAAAAAATCTCGATTTCTATGAACACCGTAGGCCAAGGGTTTATGAGGAGAGTAGCGTATCAGAAACCCTTGGCTAGCGAAGATGAATTTTTAGAATACATTTAGACATAAATAAACTTGCAATTGGTGTTGCTGGTTGTAATAATTCCAAATGATTGAATTACTGTGTTAAAGATATTTTGAGTATAGGAGGTTTTGTTTATATTTAAGGTACCTAAAAAATGTTCTACACAAAAATTATGGATGAATCATACTGACAGAGAGTAAAATTTAAAAGGTCATAAAACTCAATTTTTCTTTAAATTATTTTTGTGTTATATGTTGATCTCATTTATACTTTTAGCAGATACCATATGTTTTGAACAGTATACTACATACTCATGCAGTCTATGAAGTTGAACAGATTTAAATGTATGAAAATAAATAATATTTTGTTCTTTTAAATCAAATTTGAATTTATGTTACAAAAAAATCCATAACAGCAAGGAATATGATTAATGTGAAAAAAAATTACATTGAAAAATAAATATAACCTGAATCCATATTGATTTTCCTTTCCTTCACTTTTACTATATATAGGTGCAAATGTGATTTTTTTTTTTACAATAATTTATGCATGTGTTACCATATACTAGAACTTAAACTATACTTAAATCTACACTACCTGGATTAATATGACTTAATTATCATGCATTTGCTATTCTTGAAAAAAAGATTTTAAAAGACATTTCCTTTATATTTCTGCATTACTTTGATGCCTCCTAATCAACACTAATTCTTAATTATCTCCCCTTTACCCAAGGATCCTTTAATAAGGCAAGTAACTGGTATGTTGAAATTCACCCAGTGGATGGAGAAAAATTCAAAAATGTGAACAAATGTATACAGATGACAGAAGCTGAACACTTTTTGATCATTAGGTAATATTATACTTTCATGTAAATTACTTGAATCTGATTCGTCGAGAAACATTTGATAAAAAACACTACTACCCGCTGAATAATGAAGCCAAGCCCTCCTGCGTAGCAACAGTCAACATTGCTTGACGACGGGTGGTATTCCAAAAAATAGCGACTGCGCGGAATTTATGCGCGCACGGTTCACTGTAATATGTATTCGTATAAAACATTCAGTATAATATAATAAATATTGCATGTAGTTGAGTGTAACATTGAAAATTTTCACCCCCCGAAAGCCTCGGTTGACAATGGTTTTCTTGGGGTGAAAATTTTCAATGTTACACTCAACTACATGCAATATTTATATAATGCTCACATTAGCCATTGGCTCAGGAAGTGAATTAATGCTCAGTACATTTATAAAAAGGCAAGATGTGGTGAACAAAAAATTTAACTAGTTTTGGCATCATATGAGTACAAAACTCAGAGTCGAAATTAATTCTCTCTATAAAACAGTTGCTGTCCTTGGCAGCTGTCCAAACAACAAAATCACCCCAAGGACACCCCATTATTACCATCTCTCCTTGGATCTGAGCATAGTACTTGTGGCTACGGTTCAAACGCGGTCCTTCGGGTGTATTCTCCAGACAGAACCCCTATTTTCCAGCTAGCTCATGGACCTATAAATAGTATAAACAAAATGTTAAAAAAATTATGTTAACTTTAAAACTGACAAAATGAAAGACATTAATACAATGTAATATGAAAAAATACCTCTTTTTCTACAATTATTTCATTAGAGATTGAGTACGGGCACTTAATCTCCAGTACCCCTCTTTGACTCCCCAATGGCATAGACTTGTCACAAATCCACCCATCACTGCTGGCACCTAAAAAGGCATGGGATGGATAAATAGTGAGCCCTGCAGCCTCCACTGTTACATCAGAGACAGAATTCTGCAGTGTCAGGTAGTCTCTGACCGCTTCTTCCTCATGGTCTACACCCCACTGGACTGGACGAGGAAGCGTCTGATACCTGTGATGTATAGAATAATTAATATTTAAAAATATAAATTGGTTGAAATACTGAATTAATTTGTTTAATGTGAATTTTTACAATTATTTTATTCATATATTTAATATTTTATTAATATTTTAATTTCCATTAAACCTTTGTAAACTGGATCCATGTATAATTTGATCCACAAGACTATGTGGGTTAGGTCCAGCATGTAAAACAGCTCCGAAAAGAGAACTCGTAATTCTTCCTTTGTGGAGTTCGGTCCAAAGGGAACATTTTCTTTGACCTTTAGTTCTTTCTTCAACATAGGCGCTCAAATTTTCGTCAATTGAAATTGGGATTGGCACTGTAATGATATGTATATGAATGAATCTGATGTTCATGATACATAAAGATATTTTCTTATATACAATGTAATTCCTATTTTTTCTTACAGTTCTCATTTGACAAGATCAATGCTTTGGATGCCATTTCCAATAGATCCTCATATGTCTCCACCTCTATCTCCCTCTCAGCTACAGGGGCATCATCTGGGATGTTCCACAAATGGCTCATACCTGAATTTTCATTTTGTTCAGTAACATGAGAATCATAGAAATTAAAAGTCTTAAGTATGTTTGTATCACGTTTTAAGTAAATTGTAATTTGGCATTTAAAAATTTGTTTTCTCACATTTTCCTTCTTAAACCTAGCTGTACCTGTACTTGGGAAAATATCCTTCAAATTTCTCAGTTGAAGCAATGTAGCATTTATGTCGAAGTCTCTGTCTGTGGTATGGCGAGGGTCAAATGAAGCATCCTCTATATCACTGGTTTCAGTGTCCATTTTATCTGCTTTTGACCTCAAGGTTTCTAATGGACCTGTTTATATTGGTTTTATGTTACTTGCTAGTTAAAGAGCTTCAAAGTTCATATGTTTTTTGTTATCTGTTAACAATCTGACTATAAAAAAATTTACTTACCAGTGGGTTTTTTAGATCTTCCTTTGGGTACTACCCATTTGCAGGGCTTACTCGTGCAGCTTTCCTGGGGCTTGATATGACTCAGTGCAAAGAGTAAACTCCCATTGTGGCTACAGCTTTGGCCTAGCCTATTTTAAAAATATCATAGATTTTAGATCAAGTTATAATCAATGGAGTAAAAAAAATTGTCTGCATATAACTCTGAAAATATGCATACCTCACAGGACACTGACAATATCCATGATGTATGTTAGTAACAGACTGTCCATTCCTAGACAAACAACATAAGTAAACCTGGTATTGGTGCTTCTTCATCGAAGCCTGGCACTTGGCGCTGATGTATATAATAGTAGTATTTATCTAAAAATCAAATAGAGAGTATTTTAAACATACCAGTTTATTAACAGTGTAACAATAACACAATTTATTAATTCTAACATTTACAAATATGAAAATGAACATTAGTACAAATGAGCACCACTATTAAATTATAAAAATAAAATACTTTCTGTATCAGAAATAATTAACTATGTGCACTTATCACTTAAAAGGAGTACTGGATTTAGATCTATGTCTTTAACAGAACAAAAACATTGTTTGTTTACCTCTGACACGCTAATATTACACTTCAAAGTCCGCCGGCTGCCATGGCAGAGGGAAAATTCCAGAAACTGATGGACAAATCGAAGAGGCCCACAAAGACAGCCTGAACCCTCAGCACAAGAGACAGTTGAAAAAGAGGGTTATTAATGAAGACTTTTCTTCCCAGATAGCAAGCTTACATTGGCCCAGTGTTGGGCCACCCTTGTAAGTTACGTGGTCCAATGTCGGAAAATGATATTGGGCCAATGGAATTTTGCTCATCGGCGCAATGTTGCACCGACATGTTGGCGCAACGTTGGACAAATGTCATAGAACGATAATTCTGACGTTGGTCCAACGTTGGGCCACTGTTGTCAGTTATGTTGGCCCAACGTCGGAAAATGTATATTGGGCCGATGCAATTTTGCTCATCGGCGCAACGTTGCACCGACAGGTTGGCGCGACGTTGGCCCAATGTCATACAATGTTAATTCTGATGTTGGTCCAATGCAGCCCAACGTATTTGTGCACCTACATGTAGGCGCTACGTTGGCCAAATGTCAAACAATGATAATTCTTATGTTGGCCCAACATAATTGTGCACAAGGATATTTGGAAATCTATGGAATTCCATGGAAATCTAAGAAATTCCAGGAAGATACAATGAAAACTGAAATAATGATAACATCACAATTTATCATAGATCAAATCTATATTTTCAAAATTAAAAAAATCGTTTCTTTTACGATGTGTTTTGAAACAAATATTACATATACACTTATAGATGTACAATGTAAGCACATTTTTTTCTAAGTATTCTCACTGATCGACATTTCTTTGTAATGAAACAAACTATTTCTATTTTTTAAATATGGCATTTGACTTCATGACATTGGGAGAGGTTATTGAAACCTCAACAGGGTATACAGTTACAATGAACTTCCAGTTGCCCGTGTACATTTACCGTACACGGTTAATGACTAGACTAGAGTGACAAACACATGTATTAAGTATACAAAATATCCACTACACAACTATATTAATAAAAAGATCCCATAAAATCAACACAGTCGTGCTATATTCCCTGAATATGCCAAAGATCCTAATTTATAAGTTAGATCCGAAATTTCTCAAGTGTCTGTTTGAATCACTTCCTCACTGATATCTCATGAAATTCACAATAAAATATAAATAAAAGATGGCATTATGTTAGAGGGTAGCCAAATAACTGGTCATGTCACGAACGGATTCACTTTAAGTAGGAAGGCTCAGAAAGTTCGATGTTGATCATTCTTATAGACACTTCAAACTTTTCTGGCACAATTTCTGAAAGAAAAGATGACCATTAGGATGGATTATCATCATATATAAAAATATGACAAATAATAAAGTAAGGCTCTACAAGACTGTTAAGACAATTGGTTATTTCAACCTGACAGTTAAGTATAGTGTAGAATAGAAATTCACTATCTTGCAGTGTTTTTTTTTCAAATTAGGATTTGTTCCGATAAATGTAAAAATTTGAGAAGTTTACAGATGACAGACGAATACCAGACACTTATGAGAAAACTCACTTTGGCCTTAAAATGTCTCAGGTGAGCTAAAGGAAATGTTAGAGCTAGAGCTAAAGCTCTATGCCTGACTTACACCGAATAAGATATAAGAAACATGTAATTTCATTTCATATTATTTCATGTGATTTTATTGCTCTAATCAGGAAAATTTAAGAAATCTTACCTTTGTGTTAATTTTCATACTGCTTTTGTCCTTCTTATGAGCATTCAGATTCCTGTAAATAATACATGTATAATTGTGCATAATAGAATATGATAGCTATTTTTAATAATTTATGCTTAAGTATTTAATGTAAAATAATTATGCATAGCTGTGCAATTTATAGCATGTTTAGATTACATGTACCTGTCAGAATCCATTGTTATGTATTTTTAGGATAGGGAAATTAAGAATATAAACCTCTTGTTTACTTGGTATATAGTAGATGTTATATTTTTATAGTTTTACGCTAAAAGATACAAGTTAAAAAATCAATATTAGGTTATTTGTGTTAAATGAAAATTTCAGCTGATTCTCACCATTTTTACAAGCTGACTATTCGCCGGCGCAGTGGGAATCGTCTCGGGCACAGTCCACTGCATGCAACTATTAAATAATCAAAATAAGTGCTGAAAATGATCTTGAACATGCATTTAAAAATAAATATATTTTATTACATTGTACAACATACCCTGTAAATGTTAAAGAGAGGAACATTATACTAAAATTCTTGAATCGATCCCAAACGAAGATTCGGGTTGAAATCCATCTTTATGAGAGATGTTTAGAAGTGTTAAATTATTACAACAACATTGAAATTGCGCTTGCTCAAACGATTTCACTGCCAGGCATTTTATGTGTAGTGTCTTGACTAAGGAACAGTAGCAGAAGCAATCATTCGTTCAAGGACACATGTTACGGCATGTGAAAACAGGTTTAAATAGCTTGGTCAGATTATTTATTTACCTGAGTTGTCTGCTTGTGTTGAACAGGGCAGGTAATCAAAGGAGTATATATTGTTTCGAGATAAATACAGTACCATAACAGGCTCTGACATTCTTATTGATTTTTAAAGTGGGGCGAGGGATAGGGAATATCTATAAAAACAGAAAGTATTAAAAACGAAAATCATTCGTTTCATCATAGATTGGATAATTTAATAGAAGAATGTTTATGAAAAAAATTCGCTCTTATTTAAAGGAATCGACTTTCCTTTAAATATTTTTTTCCGAAAGTAGGGGAACTGTCAGATGTATTTCTCACTTTTAAGCCATGTATACTTATTGGATGTAGAGAAATTTGTGTTATCAAAATATATATTACAGAAAAAAGGAAACCAGCAAGAAATCTCTAGCTTAATGAAGTTAATCAGGAAGTTAAACAAGTATTTTCTTCAAATTTAATGTGTTAACTTAAATAAAAGAGACAACTATCTCTTGTATAAAATCAGTTTCCCCTTTATGGTACCTCATAATATTGGAAATCGGTATAAGGATTAAACTCTTTGTTTGGACAAATAGCGTGCTATTGGCTATTTATCGATCGGACAACGGATTAAACAATGTCCAGTATAATCTCACGGCCATTTATAACGGGTCACTCTGAACAAAGGCCTTCATTAATAGCCTAGGTGAGGGGGGGATAGAGTCAGACAAAAATGGTTTAAAATTTATATTGGTGTGTTATACCGCTAAGTATATCAAACTATGTGAAAACAGTTGTATTAATATAGCATAAACGGGTGGTAAAATTGTGTTTTAAAATTTTTGTTCCTTGTGGGATGGGGAAGAAAACTGGGTTTACAGTCGGCGAGACTGCGTTTTCTCGCCTAGTAGAATGGTTGTAAGGCGTGTCACTTCTGACGACCAGTTTTAAGTCGAGATATTTGTTATAGATGGATATAATTTAGTGTTATCGTGATAACATCAGTTCTGATTATAACTGTGGAAGCCAAAATCCGAAAATATTTAAAACATTTTGGTGTTTACGTAATAAGTTATTGTCTCATATTTTTTAAAATTTAGATTTGATGGTATTCTTCCTTCATTTGCTTTGATTTGAAATGGCTAGGGTAATATCAAATAGAAATCACCTGTGTCGTCTTGTAGAAATTTAACAAGTTATAATTATATTTGATCTTTATTGTGAACAAACAATTTCGAAGTAAGGGAAGTATTTGTCGAGAGTGAACAAGATATGAACTCATTTTTATGGCAATGTCTTATTAATTCTGATCTCTTTTTGGTTAGATGCCAACAGTTAAGGTGATTCCCTTGCTCAAGAGCAGGAGGTGAGTAGTTCTGAAAATGACTATCGTTAATATTCTAATAACACCTAGTTTAGTAAAGTGTTTTTTGCGTGTTTGGTTTGGTTTTCCAGTTTACTGATTTGACCAGTTGTTATTGTGAGTTTTGCTTTGGTTGTGAGGGTGTTTGTCAGCAATTTGAAATTGCTTTGTTCGATTTACTTCCAGATTTAATCAAGTGTTCAATTACAATATAATGAATGTGGTCAATTAATGTTATCAAACAACTCAAATAACAATAAAATAATTAATTTTACAAAAATATCCTGAAAAAGAAATAAATTATAAATAACATATATAACACAAGGCCTTTAATTCGGAAATATACTTGTATATTTATTATGTCACAGTTGCACAAAATAGACGTCATGCATATAGATAAACAGAGTTGTCTGTACAGTTCAAGTTCCTTTATCAGATTTAGTAGAAGAACTAGTACAGGGTGGAAACAAAGTTCGTATAGTGGTTGACGTGTATCGTTTGTCTCAATTTCTTGTTCTGTCCTCCGTCTGTCCAGTCTCTGAATATATCTTAATATTTCCAATGTCATATCCTGGTATTATTATTATTGGAAAGTTTCTAAGTCATTAATGAAATTGCTTCGTTCGATTTACTTGCAGATTTTAATCAAGCGTTCAATTACAATATTGAATATGGTCATTTAATGTTATCAAGTCATTTCCCAATACGTTTAATTATTAATTACCAATAAGGGATGCTGATCACGTAAATACTAAGATAGTTTGTCTCTTTTAATTATGATATTTCATCAATGTCAAGCTAACTTCGTCAAGCTGACCCATAATATTTCACATCAATGTTTACATCAATATTGACTACATAAAACACATAATTAGTAAATAGAAATAGAGTGCATAAGAACCTAAATGGCTCTCAAGGAAATATAAGGATTATTATGTCTTGTACACATATGTCCTTATCAATCAAAGATACGAAACACAACATATATTAAAAAGTTGATAAATAGTTTGTTTATAATAATTTGTTTATATGTAAGGTATGTTTCAATTGTGTTACACATAACTTGGATTCAACCACTGTTAATTTTGGCCTTAAAAGAAAACAAGTAAGATTTTACAATTTTATTTTAGAGAAACCACAACTCAAATAACAATGAAATAATTATTTTTACAAAACCTCTTGAAAAATAAATAAAATATAAATAACATTTCAGTTTTTCCTCATTATTAGCTCTACTGGTCAGAGACCAGAAGAGCTTATGCGATGGTAATGCGTCCGTCGTCCGTCCGTCTGTCTGTCTGTCTGTCTGTCCGTCTGTCTGTCTGTAAACAATTTTTCAAAATGCTACTCCTCCTACAGTTTTGGTCTGATTTCAATATAACTTGGCACACAAGTAGACTACACTAAGATACATAATTCTGTGTATCGGTTTTTGATTTCGATGAACGGTGTTGCCGTGGTTACTAAAAATAGAAATTTCTGTGAAATTCTTTCAAAATGCTACTCCTCCTACAGTTTTAGTCTGATTTCAATATAACTTGGCACACAAGTAGACTACACTAAGATACATAATTCTGTGTATCGGTTTTTGATTTCGATGAACGGTGTTGCCGTGGTTACTAAAAATAGAAATTTCTGTGAAATTCTTTCAAAATGCTACTCCTCCTACAGTTTTGGTCTGATTTCAATATAACTTGGCACACAAGTAGACTACACTAAGATACATAATTCTGTGTATCGGTTTTTGATTTCGATGAACGGTGTTGCCGTTGTTACTAAAAATAGAAATTTCTGTGAAATTCTTTCAAAATGCTACTCCTCCTACAGTTTTGGTCTGATTTCAATATAACTTGGCACACAAGTAGACTACACTAAGATACATAATTCTGTATATCGGTTTTTGATTTCGATGAACAGTGTTGCCGTGGTTACTAAAAATAGAAATTTCTGTGAAATTCTTTCAAAATGCTACTCCTCCTACAGTTTTGGTCTGATTTCAATATAACTTGGCACACAAGTAGACTACACTAAGATACATAATTCTGTGTATCGATTTTTTATTTCGATGAACAGTGTTGCCGTTGTTACTAAAAATAGAAATTTCTGTGAAATTCTTTCAAAATGCTACTCCTCCTACAATTTTGGTCCGATTTCAATATAACTTGGCACACAAGTAGACTACACTAAGATACATAATTCTTTGTATCGGTTTTTGATTTCGATGAACGGTGTTGCCGTGGTTACTAAAAATAGAAATTTCTGTGAAATTCTTTCAAAATGCTACTCCTCCTACAGTTTTGGTCTGATTTCAATATAACTTGGCACACAAGTAGACTACACTAAGATACATAATTCTGTGTATCGATTTTTTATTTCGATGAACAGTGTTGCCGTGGTTACTAAAAATAGAAATTTCTGTGAAATTCTTTCAAAATGCTACTCCTCCTACAATTTTGGTCCGATTTCAATATAACTTGGCACACAAGTAGACTACACTAAGATACATAATTCTTTGTATCGGTTTTTGATTTCGATGAACGGTGTTGCCGTGGTTACTAAAAATAGAAATTTCTGTGAAATTCTTTCAAAATGCTACTCCTCCTACAGTTTTGGTCTGATTTCAATATAACTTGGCACACAAGTAGACTACACTAAGATACATAATTCTGTGTATCGATTTTTTATTTCGATGAACAGTGTTGCCGTGGTTACTAAAAATAGAAATTTCTGTGAAATTCTTTCAAAATGCTACTCCTCCTACAATTTTGGTCCGATTTCAATATAACTTGGCACACAAGTAGACTACACTAAGATACATAATTCTTTGTATCGGTTTTTGATTTCGATGAACGGTGTTGCCGTGGTTACTAAAAATAGAAATTTCTGTGAAATTCTTTCAAAATGCTACTCCTCCTACAGTTTTGGTCTGATTTCAGTATAACTTGGCACACATGTAGACTATTCTTAGATACATAATTCTGTGTATCGGTTTTTGATTTCAATGAATTGTGTTGCCGTGGATACTAAAAATAGAAATTTCTGTTAAATACTCTCAAAATGCTACTCCAAATAACAGTTTTAGTCTGGTTATAATATAATGTGGCATGCAAGTAGACTACACTAAGAACATAAAGAGACTTAATCAACAGTGGCGTAGCATCGTTTTTGAAAGTGGGGGGGCCAGGCAGAGAAAAAAAATTTTTTTACTTACCTGAAAAAGTTGACAAGCAAAAAAAAAAAAAAAAAAGGGAAAAGTTGCCCGAAGTCGAAAATCCTATTTCGTGTGTGTGTGTGTGTGTGTGTGTGGGGGGGGGGGGGGGGGGGGGGGGGGTAGGTAAACTTTTTTTCAGTGTCAACTACTTTTAATACCAATTCTTATACTAC